TGTCTGTCTCTCTTCACCTTTAAAAAAAAGATACATAGAAAAGAATCAATACCCATTTTTTGTCAGAACTTTTTCTATGTACAGATTTTGTATACAACTTGATGTGTTTTATATATTTGTAAATTGCCCAAGAATCTATATATTAAATATCTATTTTTCTGCTTAGGTAAATTAGAAAAAATGTTTAGAAAATGGAGTTTGTGTATATGATATGCCCCCATATAAGTTATTTTAATGCAATTTGCAAGGTGTAAGTTGCTCTTTAAAAAATTGAGTACAACTTATTCTGTCTCTCATAAACAAATGATATATATACTTTTTTGATTTAAGAAATATAGGACTCTGTACAATCTTTGATGTTCTCTGAGCTTGGTTGTTTTCTTGCAGATATTTCATTATCCAATGCTGTTCATATACAAACAATAAAGCAGTAACTAACATCCTAATCAAGGAACTACCAAGAAGAAAACAGCTCTCTCATCAACACTGACAAGGCAAGCCACTGAATATAAACAGAGAGTAAATTCAAGTCCCTTCTAGCACTAAAGATGTTACCTAGTTGGGTAATGAAATGTCTGCAAGAAAACAAGCAAACTCAGAGAACATCAGGGACCATATAGTTCAAATCCGAGCAAAAAATATTCTCTTTTCTGGTCAATGCTATGAATGGATTTTGTGGCCAAATTCATTTGGGTAGATTTTTTAATTTCTTAGTTACAAACCAGGATTTTAAATTTTTCCAAAATGTCCAATAAATTATTTATTTGAAGGTTTCACGATTTTAGGAGAAAGACTAATCACTGCCTTTCACTAAGACATTTTTGTTAGAAAGTCTGTGACATTCACTGACCTTCATGAAAAAAAAAAGCTATTTTGAACAAAATTCTCCAAATATTCTGTTTGAGGTCTTAGATGATGCTGAATAGCTTATTTCCCTTCTTTCCAAAATACTCCAAGATGAATATATCTCTGGAGCATTCACAAAGAGGTAAAACGGTAGCCAAAATGACAAAAGTATATTTGCTGATACCACTTGAAATAAAAAAAACCCTCAAAGACAAAATAAAATAATAAATAAATAAAATAAAATACACTTTTGGTACAAATTGCTGTGGTGAACTAACTGTCCTTTTTTCCTGTTCCTGATGCACAAGATCAAGAATTTTGTAAAGCTCTGCCCTGACATAGAGAGTTTTGACCTGACAAATTGGCTTATTGGACTGAGAACAAGAGCTGTGCTCATTAAGAAATTATTCGTAAAATAAGCCAATGTTAACATTCCTGTTGAAAGATACAATAAATATTAGCGGGTGGGGCAGTAGTGGAGCTTGTCACTCTTCCAGAATGAATGGTGTAACTGAATTTCTGATGGTCACAAAGCTTTTGGGGAAGGAGACAGACAAGTTAATGTAAATATGAAATCCCTAATAGGTGTTCAAATGTGCTTATGAGCAGTTCCCTTGGCACCCACTAAACACCCATCCTATTTAATTTTTTCTTAGATTACTTTGACTTGAACTAAATGTTATATGCTAGAACAATCTTTATCTTCAGGAAGGCTTCATAGGAGGGTTTAGGACAGGGGTGGGGAACTCTAGCTGGCTCAGGCATTCTGGGAGTTAAAGTCGACAACTCATAAAGGGGTCATAGTTTCCCACCCCTGGTTTTTCAAATAATGAAAATGCCCTTGTGGTTTGTTCAGAAATATGCCCTCCTAGCTAGAAAAAATTCAGAGGCGAGGTATGATTGAACTTTAATCTCCTTGTGCTTAAAAAAAAACCTAGGCAGAATGAAATTTTTTCGGTTTATCTTCTGTTTTTTTAACTGCTAACTGCTGAAGGGCTAAGTACCGTGCAGTATCCATTTTCTTGGGAGAGCCCACAGCATGCTCTCAAAAAATCAAATATGCCCTCAGTGTCCAAATGGTTATTGATGCAGAAAAACATTTATCCTGCCATCTTTCTTTCCTTTCAAAATTCCAGAAGTTGAGTCAGCTTGGACACTGAGAAAAATTTTAACATACATTCAATGCCACTTTTGTTATTCCACCCACAATACAATAAAAGGACTAAGAGCACTGTGGATACATAAAAATGATAGCTGGAAGCTACCTGGCAGAAGCCAACCAAAAATGTTTTGACAAACCATTGTTTTTGTTTGTTTTAAGAGGGGTTCTTCGTGCTCTCTGAGTTGGTTGTTTTCTTGCAGACATTTCAATAACCAAACTAAGTAACACTAACAGTTTGTTTTAATTAAAGAGTGTTTAATTAAACACTAAGCTTCAGCACTAATCCTTGAAATTTTGGACTCTGGCTTTTGCCTAGAATGCCGAATGCCAAATACCAATGTTGGTATTGACCCCTATTTTTATTATTATGAATAATTTTATTAAAAATTAAAATTACAACAATAAAAACTAATACAAACTTTAAAAAAAGAATAAAAAGAAACATTGAAGGTACAGAAAAGAGAAAAGAAAAGGAAGAAAAATAAAAAATATAGTAAAGGAAAATAAAAAATAAAAAAAATGACTTTCTCCTTCATCACAACATATAAACAATTTCAGTAATTTCTCCTAAAATACAACAAATGATCTCTTCTTCCCATATCCTGACGTTATAAACAAATCTTTAAAGCCTTGTCATTTCAGTCCCAATGTCAGCAAAAGTCCATTAAAGGTTACCAGAGACAACAACAGCTTTTTGTGGAGCTGTCTTCAATCTGCCATTTTTGGCTGCTAGACCAGTATTTTTATTAGCTACTGTTATTGCCTGGTGGACATCTTAAGGTTCCTAGTCCAGCTCACACTTCTGGGACTGCCTTCTAATCACATAGCTGAAATTAGCAAAATTCTCTATAATTTTGAACAGAAAAAAAGAACATCTTACAGTCTGGAACCTGCAACTGGATTAATGTTGTTAAACAAATGCATATGAAATGTTATTAAAAATATAAGGGAATAAAGACAATTCCATCTTTGAGTTAAAAAAAAAGTAGCAAGTCTCCACCTGCTTAGCATTATCAGCCTGAGACCTTCGCACTCAAAGACACCTATGGCCTCTTGATTCTAAACCTAGTCTATCCCTGGTTTTAATTATGTACTATACTGTAGTAGTTTGGACTGTGATTTGGAAAGTTTCCAATTCAAATAGGACACCAATATTTTTTTTACTAGACAGCCAAATCACAATATCTCAAAACAGTAGATGTTGCAGAATATTGATCTGCTTACAAGACTGTACTTCATACAGTATATGTGAATCACTAGAAAGACTGATACAGCTATATAAACTACTAAGTGTTATGCTTTTCTGAGGAATATTATTGCATCTACTATAAATGAGATACGTAGATTTAAAAATCTGAAAGGCAAATTTCAAACATTCTGATTAAGGAATTCTTTCTACATAAGTTTAATAACAGAAATTTCATTATGCTCGGCACAGCACTCAATTCCATACAAGTTCTGTGATATTCTTTTGCCTGCAGTTCAAAAAAAGCATTTCACACCAAAACATTTAGAAGGCAATCTAAAATGAAAAACACAACAGAAATCCACAAATTGCAGCTATTATCATTTCCCCAGGCTTTGAGACTTGAGAATAATAAAAAAAGTCAATTTAACTTTTTATATTACTAACATTATTTTAATCTGGAAGCTTTTAAAAATCTATTCTAATAGATTTTTAAAAATGAAATGTGTAAATTTACATTTATATCTCTACATCCTCATCAAACCTCTTAATACTTTTTCCCTGAATTTGCCCAGCCCTAAAATGATAGTGGGAAATTCATGGTCCCCCTCTACTCTACCCAAGCACGACTAAAATATAACAATAAATATTATGGCAACAAGTTTGATTTTTTTAAAGCCATTTTCATCAAAACACATATCCAGTCATGAAAACATGAAATTTGGTGGAGACCATTCTTTTGTGGTCATCTCAGTATTTAAATATTTTTTAAATAAAGGCATGACCTCAGCCAGGTTTAACAGTATCACATTTTTTTCAAATATAAGAGTTTTCAGATCTTTAATATTAGACTATATCTATTTGCTCTCGAGACCCATGGCACCTGAAATTTCCTAAAAGCAGAACACTCAAATTTACACCTAAGATAAATCAGGTTGGAATGCTTACGTTTCTATTGAACCAGGGCTCTAAAGTGACATTTTGCCAGCCCATATCATAAAAATCACAAACTTTGTTTATTCTGAAAGTTTAGAAATTTAATTTGCTTAGAATGCCATACTTATCAATATTTCTATGAAGTTATGTAACAATTTCAAAAGGAGAAACAGAACTGGAAGAATTCTCTTTTTTGTATTTTTTTTTTGTATCTTTAGTGCCGCCTTCTGGCATTTCAGGAACAATACACTTATTTTTATATTAAAATCTATTAAATTCATTTGTAAAGGAGTTTACAGTACAGAATTAGGTGGAATCATTGAAATAACTTTCTAAATATGGTTTAAAAAATAAGTTTTCAATATCTAAGTGCAGAAAATCCCAACAAAGAAAGGAATTTCTACTTAAAATTTCACAAAATAGGCAAATGAAAGCAACCTTCAGCAAAACACAATTTTGGGAGAATCTTAAGAATCAACCCCTCCCTGGGAATGGATGAATTAGTCTTCCACCAATCTATATCATCGTAAAATGTGAGACAGACTCTCAAGCTTCATGCAAGATACATAAAATCCATGATTCTGTTCCATTTCAGTTCTCTGCTTATGTAATTTTAAAAATGAGAATGCAACTTTGCACTTAATTATATATTTCAAAAATACCTGTTAAAATATTTGCATTTCATAACTTATCTTTCCAGATGTCTAATTCCTCTCCTACTAACATGTTTTGACAATCGTAAATGTTAAGGCATAATTAAATTATTAATTGTATGACCATCCAGGTGGTGAGTATCATTCAGCTCACAGGAGACTTCAAACACCTTGACCACATCTGTAGTTAGGTATGGGATATATCTAGATAGCTTACCTTGGTCTGGAAGCAGCAGTAGAGCTGTGTTAAATAAGGATGCTTTCGTGCTAATGCCAGAATCCGCTTTTCTGTCATTGTACAGTCCACATCATCATCTTGAAGAATGACATCTTTCTTTAAGACTTTCACAGCATATACTTCATCTTTACCTTTGAGTTCCGCCAGCATGACCTAGAATCAAGGACAATGTCCCATTTATAAAATACATTTCACACTTTTCAAAAGTTACACCAATAACAACTGGGGGAAAATAAACAATCGCAAGCAACCTTGAAGCAAAATATTTTACAAAGGTCCTATGATCAATATCTATCTGCTCAACTGCACACAAATTTGTACATACAGTATCACTTAACAATTCAAGATGTAGTTTGACTTAGAGCTGTGAGCCCAATATAAAAAAGTAAGCAGTATCAGCTCCAACTGAGAAATCAGCTTTTCATGAAAGATATAGAACCAAATTCAGTACTCGTCATAGAGTTTAGTATCCATGTGAACAAGTAGACCCATTTATTGTCAGGGTACCTTTATAATTTAACATGAAGAAATTCTTGTGAATGATGAACCATGAAGAAATTTTTGCACATGTTCAAACAACTTCTGGACAGCTCCTATAGATGAGAGTATATTTGTAATCAATAGCAATATGCACATTCACACACTCAGAGTAGGGGGTTTCTATTGTTAATAATGCATTATTCTTAAATAAGTAAATGGAGTACTCCTACAAACCTAATTTTGAGCAATTGTAAAGGAATATTACAAAAAAGAACATATTTTTATCTTTAGAAGGCACTTATAAGCCAGCAGGAAAATGATACAGGGATACACATATAAGTATTTGTAATCCAGGATCTCTGGCACTGATTAGAAAACCAAGGATAAACACAATGATTCTGCTTTGAACCTGACTGATAAATTTCTGGTTTCAGTTCCATTAGAGGTCTCTCCAAGTAAACCAAGGCACATGAGGCTTATAAGATTTGCAAGTAAACCAGATAGCAAGCCTGCTTTATCACGTCTTACATACAGTAGCCATAAACTTTGGCCCCTTTGCCAACGTGGTTCAACATTCATTTCATTTCCTTGGTATAGTTTCCATTACTATACCAAGTCTTTCTGCTTCTGACTGCATGATCCTTATCCACTTGTTCATGAACTGACTCTGGAATGGATAGGGTGTGATGTGAATTTCCTCCTTAGTAAGTTTCAGTCAAATAGTTTGCATATTCCTTGCACCACACAATTTCAGTCTATGAATGCAATTATAACTGGAATAATCAAACTAGGTATTAGCTAGGTATAAACTGAGTAGACCACTATAGAGTTCTGCAAAGTCATTGTGTGATGACTTCATAAATAGACCATTAGTTGATCTAAGTCCCATAGATCACATCAACACAAAACAATTGCAAATAAAGTTATTGGACATGTAGTAAATAGTGTTCTTTAATTATGTTCCGTTAACCATATTAGTATTTAATAACAAATGAGATCATCAAAGACATTGAAAAGCTTATAAATTAGCCTTTACATTTATACTTCACAATACAGATGACAATGTCATCAAAACCAATCTACATTCAATATGGACCTAGATTTTGCTGCAGATGAGAGCCAAGATCAAGGCTTAGCAAAATTATACACTTACCAAAATTATACACTATGGGTTGGGACAGCCTACAGCCAAGTGATTCCTCTTTACCATAGCAACTTGCCTATTCACTCAGGCATGATAGTTGGTGACATGAACAGACACTGTAGTATGAAACTTATTGCCAGTACTCAACAGCAGTAGGAATGATAATGAGGAAGACGTTGAGCTGCAGCAGCTACCCTAAAGAACATGGATGCAGCATTGTCCAGATACATCAATGTTTGCAGTACAGTACTAGAACAAGCAGCTTTCTCCAATCATCTGGTTTCTAGTTTGACTAGAAATAACATACTTCCTAATCAGCAGTTGCAGATAGAAACATATAAAGGAAGTGAACCCGGAAAACATTCAAAGAATGTACCCTCACACAAGTGAGGGAATCATGGCAAAGTGAGATCTCTTTTTAAAATCGCACAGGTCTTCTTGAGTAAATACAGTATATTGGTCCCAATGAAAATGTTTGGCTCATATCTCTTCACATTTAGAATTGTAGGTATCCCTGATTATCTTGCATAGAGCTGAAGAAACCTACAATGGTTCTATAATTATAAAAAGTGAGATTTGTCATTACTTTTTTTCACTATTCTGTAACTGCTTTATAGGGTGTAGTGATTGGAGCTAGAACAAATACAGTCTAATATCTCATGCCATGTTATATTTACATGGCTGGTAAGTTGAAAAAATAAGCAAAAATTTGAATTGCAAGATCAGAAAAAACAAAATAGGAATCATCTACACAGAGAAGAAATGTCAGTCACCTGACAGAACACTTTCTGCAGTTTGGCTCATTGACAAACATAATTTAGCACTTCAATAAGTAGATATGTATTCAACTCACAGTATAATGCTGACATTTAAAAAAAAATCAAACTTTGAAATGAGAAACATTTCTACCACAGGATTTGAGGAAATTCACAGATATAGATTCCTGCTATAGTTCTTTTCTGTACATAGATGGCAACATATTCTTTTATAAGAACAAGTAAAACAATACAATATGATAAATTGTAATGTGTACAAAGATAGCAACTGAACAGAATGAAGATCTTGATCTTCTGCAACTACATCTCCAACATCAGGTTTTGTCAAATTACTCTCCTGAAGTTATATTGGCTTATGATTTTATCTAAGGTCAGAAATTCCTAGAAGGCATCATGCCTACGTTATCTATTGATTCAAACTAGCTCACAAGGCAGCAGCATCTGAAGGAGACTGAAGTCAGGATGATCTGACAACAATCCATTGTACCTACCAGCTTAGAACTGAAACCACTTAATGGATCATCAAGTTTGTCTGTGCAACCAAGTTTCTAAAATCAATGCACAAAGTATATTTGTACTGAGTAGATAGGATAGAAAAATTTAACAAATAGTGTCATAAACAACTGGAGAAACCAATGTCAAATTGTAATTTATTTGTAAGATTTATACAATGGCAGAGATTGGTCTCCTGTTGAGAACGATCACATGACTTTACAAATGACTCCCCCAACTACTTCCAGATCCCCAAATCATGGAAACAAATATCATCAATGTAGGCTGGGTATAGAGTGCTATGAATTTCCTATAATATTTCAGGCATGCATTTAGCTTTTCTTGTCATTCTATTGGATTCCTTTCTGTTCTATTTTTAAAAAGTATTTACATTTAAATCCCTAGAGATTTTGGGCAATGTACAAGCAAGAAACAAGGAAAAATAATATAGGAATAAAATCAAAACATAAATTAAGACCGATGACTGATAACAATGAATGAGCTGCCAAAGACTCATGAAATAAAATGGATTTAATTGGTTTTAGAATGTCAGCAGTTGGGCCTCGTGTACTTCTGGGAGCAGAAGGTCTGAAGGATGGGGGCCACCACAAAGAAGATGGTGTTTTATCCTTATTTAATGGGGAATGTATGGGGGGTGATTTTTAACAGCCCTTCTATAAGTGAACAAACTGGACAAGACAATCTAATACTGATAATGTGATGCCTGATAAATCCTATTTACTGAGCTACATATTTTGAAGGAAATAAAAGCACTTTGAACTGGCCCCAGAAGTCTAATACCAACTAATAGATTGATATTAATATTATTCTATATAGATAAGTATTAACAAGGCACAGTAATACAGTCCTGTGTAGTATAAACAGAGGCATAGAATCAAAATCACGCAAAGTATTAGTATCACTTTATAAAACCCTATTAAGACCACACCTGGAATACTGTAGCCAATTTTGGTCACCATATCACAAAAAAGATGTTGAGAGTTTGGAAAAAAAAATCAGAGAAGAGCAACTAAGATGAACAAAGGCCTGGACATATGAAGAACGGCTCTGGGGCTTGGGTTTGGCTAGTCTTAAGAAAAGAAAAAATAGCAGAGACATGATAGTAGTATTCCGATATTTGAGGGGCTGCCACAAAGAAGAGGGAATCATGTTATTCACCAGAGCACCAGAGGGAAGGACAAGAAACAATGGTTGGAAACTGATCAAAGAGAGAAGCAACCTGGAATTAAGGAGAATCTTCCTGACAGTGAGGACAATTAATCAGTGGAACAGCTTGCTTCAAGAAATCGTGGGCACTCCATCACTGGAGATTTTTAAGAAGAGACTAGAGAGTCACTTGTCTGAGATAGTGTAGGTTCTCCTGCTTGAGCAGGGGGCTGGACTAGAAGACCTCCAAAGTCCCTTCCTATTCTATTCTATTCTATTCTATTCTATTCTATTCTATTCTATTCTATTCTATTCTATTCTATTCTATTCTATTCTATTCTATTTGCAACTTCTGGATCATGTTCAAAGACATATGCCATTCCAAGGCTGTTTTTGGCAAAACAGAAGTTGCACATCCTGACCTTAATTTCATGTGACAAAGAATGTATTTGTATATGGACAGTAATTATAATGGTACATGAGAAAGATTTAGAGAGGATGAAGAGATGGTGCCTAAGGAACAGTCAGATAGGGGACCCCATAGCCTGCAGCTGGATAATAGATGAAGAAAGAGGCTCAGAAGGGACCCTCCCAAGCTTCTCAAGCTGTAAAGGAGAATGGGCAGGAGTTCTCTACTTTCAGACTTGCAATATTCTGTTAATGTTTCCTTACAATAAAGTAAAATTCGTTCATCTGATCATGTTATCTATCTAGTCTACCTGAGAAGCCTGTAATATTTTAAACTTAGGAGTCATGATGAGGCATGTGACCAAGAAGAACCAAGTAGCAATTGTAGGGTGCTCACCTTTCCAAAGCTGCCTTTTCCTAATACTTTAATGAAGTTAAATTCCTCAAGGCCCATTCGCTTTGTCTGAGCTTTGACTTCTCCATTTTCCCCATTCTCCCCAGGTGTGTTAAGTTGGTTGTCAGTTGAGCTGGTTGCTGCTCCCCTGTGTTCTTCTCCCCGATTGTCAAATGATAATGCTTTCCTAATGTTATTTTCAAGCTCTTTGATTTCTGTGTGAAGACAAAAAAAGTACTGACAGGCAAGATATTTTACAAAAACCTCTGCAGGATTTTATATTAATTTTAGAGACAGATGAATTATATCAGATGCTTTTTGAGTCACAAACAATGAGAGATTATGGTCCATCCCAATTTTATGCATACTTTCTTGACTGAATTTAAACTGGTCTAGGTTTATGGGGAAACGTATGCCTCAAGTAGAGAGCAGCCTATCAGATTTTGGCTCTGCTCCAGGATTCCTTTGGGAGATTCTGAACCCTTGAAAGATTCCCTGACACTGCACACTGGAGACTTGGGATGTGACATAGAATTGGGTTGTTTTGTCATTTTTAGGCAGCAATGATAAACTGAGGCTCCAGGGCTATCTATACCTCCAAAATGTCTTCTAAGTATTAATATTGATAACTAGTGGTATAATTTTTTGCCATTTTGAAATTTAAATACAAATAAAAAGCTCTAAATGCATCATAAAAAAGAAGAAATAATCGAGTGACAACTATTTGTCTCTTAACTCCATTCATTGTGGACACACAAAAGACACTGCCAAACTTTGGTTTTTCTTGTTTGAGATTATTAATTATTAATGGTTTAATCATTGGGATTTTTTAAAAAATAGTTACAATGTTGGGTCAGACAAGATTTTAAGGCTTTTTGGAATGCTATCAGCATGGGAGGTATACAATGCTTAAGGGGACATCATACCAGGCACTGCTACAAGAAAAATATGCTTCCTGTATCCCAAAATATGACACTGCTTAATTGAAGGGATCTGAAATAGGCCCACTCTGCCAAATCATATTGGGCAGGCAGCAATCACAGAAGATAGGCAGTCCTGCAAATAGGTAGACCCTGTGCCAGGTAGGGTTTCACAGGTGATAACCAGGACCTTGAATTACACCCGGAAGCACAATGGCAATCGGTATAGCTGAAGAAGCAGAGATGTCACATTAGTGTGCTGAGACAAAGCAATCACTGCTAATTCTGGACCAATTGAAGCTTTCAGGGAAGGGGGGTGTCTTCAAGGGAGCCCCATGTAGACTGCACTGCAACAATCACACTGTGAAGTGTCAAGGGCACGAGTGACTATCTGAAGGCTGACTGATTCAGATTATGATATTGTTTAAAGGTTGAGTGTTCTTTAAATTAGAACTGGTGGAGCTGCATTTTTAAATGACTTAGTTTAGTCAAACTGTTAAGGTAAATGCAATTTATTTATTAGCAAAAAAATATGTTCATGAACCTTGATCACATGGGGAAGTTGGTGCTGACTTTGATCTGTCATCTTCTCCTGGTGAGGATCCAGGAACTGGCGGTTGAGATTCTGCACCTGGAACAAGCTAAGAATAATCCAACAAAAAAGATACTTAATCATGTGCTCTTCTGACATGGCATTTATGAGACAATAAAGATGTAACTTCACATAACAATGCTTTTCTGCACTGGAGAAAGGCAATTGAAAATACATTTTATCTTTAATCAAAGTTTAAATTTGGAGTTCATCTTTAAAAGGTATTCAACTTTTAAACCTCTTTAAAAATGTTAACTTTTGAAATAGGATTTTAATAAAATCTTGATGGAAGCAATAGATATACTTCTAACAAAATATTGATGACATATGAAACTGTGCAAGACTAAAATCTGAGTGGGTTTTAGATAGATTATGTTCACCAAAGCATAAGGATGCTGATTTAATAATTTTTGTAGGCACATGAGCCAAAAGGAAGATACAATTTCATGCTAAGATTTAAACATATATAGCTTGATCAGAAATCATCACTGAGCCCAAAGTACCCAACAGCAATTTCAAGACTATGATAACCATTAAGAAATCTGTGCTGTTTTTTGTGCAGAGCCTCTCTTGGAAATGCTCAGTGTTCCATATAAAAAAGATGTGAGAATTTATTATCAATAAATATATTTTTCTGTGTCAGCCCCTCCCCCTTGCTTTGTGGTACAGCTTCCCTTGGAGGACTGGTTAGCACCAGTCATGATGTCATTCTGCAAGGCTAAAGAGAACTCTTCCTTAAGACTTTTCAATTTTGATATTGTGTTGCTATGACTGGTTGGCACCACCTAGTGTTATTATTTTTCTGTTTTTATTGTTCTATACTGTTCTTTGATCCACCATTTTATTTGTATATCTGCTTTATGTTAGAAGTGACTGTGAGTTGATCCATGCTTGCTAATATTAAGTTCATTAAATAAATATATATATGACAATATTAAGTGAAAAAGCAGCACATGCATGCTATTTCTCCTTCACTATTAAAGTCAATGAAGCAACTGCAAAAAGCAATGTTTTCAATCCTTTAGACACCTAGCTGGGAGAAAGCCATACTATCCATAATAGGATTTACATATTGGTGTACACAGATTGTATTGAACATATATCTCTTGGTACAACTAATATATTAGCTGTATGTATGTTATGCTTTCCAACTGATTTGTATTTGTGTGGAAGGATCAGTTTTGCAAATATCTACTGAATTGTTTCAGAAGAATGTTATTTTGCTGTGTTTCCATCTGACATCATTGTAATAGCATGGAGGGCAGAGAGTTTTTCAACTAGATAAGAATATTTACATTTAAGAGTATTTACATTCATGTGTGTTCTCAGAAAGGGACTTCAAAGCAGTGGCTATGATGTTTATGTGGCTTCCTGACAAGAAATGTTCTTTCTAACAATTGATAAAAGAATGCAACCATCTGTGACTTCACTGCTACTAAGGTTAAATGAGTCTAAGGGACAAATTGTTAATAATTGTCCCTTCATATGTTTCATATGCATGATGCAGCTTCAGGTTTTGATTATAATTTAATTAATTACAGAGATGGAAGACAGGAGAAATTGGGGAACTGGAAATTTATATCTTTCCTTCCAGTATGTAGAGACTTTCTCACCCAAAACTCAGATCCTTTATGATCTGATTTATGATAACCATAAATTCATTTCTATTGGATTACTTCTGTGAGGAAAATTGTTCACAGCTAGCAAGAGAACAGAACTGTACCCTCCCATTCCTGTTGTGCTGCAAACACCTACCCTTAAGATTTTTAATCGGGAATAAAGGGCTTTTTGTCTGATGTCACATATATTTTCAGGGTATCCTTTAGTTTTCAGTCTCTTCAAAGAATTAATCTGGTATTGTTGTTCTAAAGCAGGACATCGGGTATTTACTTGGGCCATGTAATTTAACAGAAGGGAAGAATAAATGTGTGGACGGTAATCATATTCATTTTCTTTAATTAAAATAACTAAACTTATTTGTGTTAACCTACAACATGCCAGTCAAAGGGTTAAAGTGGCTTCAGATTGAAACAGGTTATGTACCCTGATTGATGGTGCTTGTGTACAGAAACTCTAGGTGAAATGCAAATTCATGGACTTCAAATTCAATGTCAAGCCTTATTCAGAGGTAACTTGATACAGTTACTACGGTATGTCAAGAAAAACTTAGAATTTGTTCAAAATGCAACAGTCTAAATCTAATTTCTTTCTGTCATAATTATTTAAAGCCAGAAAAAAATACAGTATACTATAGTACATTATACGTGATGCAGGTTTGTTGTAGCAAAAGTCATCTGCAAATCAGGAATTCAGCAATGATTAAAACACCCCTGTCCAATTTTTTATCATCTAGATACATTATAGATGGATTACAGCTCTATAATTTAGATATCACCAAATTAAAGAAGGTTATTTTAAATACTTACCTTGACTTATGACAGCATTATCTGTTACCACTCCACATTACTGGCTGCTATTTTGTAAAGAAAGGGAGTAGGCCAACATTTTCAGTGGCACCAGAAACACATAATTGGGATGGATGAAATATTTCCAGGTCATTGCTACTTTTACACGTTTTATCCAGATAACACAGAAGCATTGTACTGTCATGCTTTTACATTAACTTACAAATTTCTCTCTAAAAATGTATTCTAAATGTATATTTTAAATTGCTGAAGTCTTTTCAGCAATTCGTTGTTGTGAAATCTGATAGACAGCTGAAGTCCAATCTGCCCATTGGTTTGTGAAGGTCAATATCAGGTCATTTTGTTTAAGAATTGACCAATACAGTCCTTGAGGATCCTTAAATCAACCAGAATATATAGTTATGCTCTGAAATTCAAACTAAAATAAAAGGACACAAGATGTCTCCATGCTTCACAGTGCAGAGCCATTATTAGTTCATATTTTAAACTGTTTCCTTGGTTACCTTCTTCCTCCTTTGTCCGCTATTAGTGATCTTATCTGGAGTAACGCCGAGATCCGCAAGTACTTTAGCTATCCCTCTGGCATCTACTCCACAGTTGGGTGCTACGTTTGTTTCACAGCGTCTATGTACATTCATCTTGCAAACTGTAATTTAAACCAACAGAAGGGGAGAGGGCAAGAGAGATCCAGGTTAAATAAGATTAAGCTGTCCTGATATATTACTATCTGTTATTTATCTTTATTATTTATGAAATCCTCTTTATAGTCCCTGTAGCGAGAATCTGGTTTAAGTGAAAATAGACTAAACAGATTTGTGACAATTCAGATATGTTTTATTCTATAAAGAACTGGCTTGCAGGATCAAACTAAAGAGTAACTCAGGGATGAACAATACTCTCCTCATTTTGGGTCTTACAGGGCCCTTCAGATTACTGCTGAATTTGGGTAGGATCCAATCCAATTCATCAGTACAATTTTGGGGCCATTTACAACCCCCCCCCCAATATAGAAAATAAGCTCAATAATTGTTCCTTACAAAACAAATTTCCTAACTCACCAAAAATGGTAAAGAAACTTGGGAAATTTTGACCTTGCATGACATTATGGTTGCTTAGAAAAACAGAACACTGCTGGGGGGGGGGGGAACAGAAATTAAGCATGGAGTCTGATTGAAAAAGTTCTTTAATCTGGCCCTGTTCTCATTGCAATCTTTTGTACAACAGCAGTCAAATAAATACACTCTAGGGACTTGTTCCTGTCTCTCCTTCAAATGTTTGGCTACAAAGGTTCAATAGTAGTCTTTCTGGAAAATAAATCAACACATCCATTGTGGTACAGAAATAAGAAGGATCATGAAGATCCAGGTCACATTGTCATGAAATTCACAAGCTGACTCTTCAGTCGAACCTAGGACTTTTGTGAGGAGGGAACTACTTGAACCTGCTTGAGTTCCTGAAGGAAATATGGGAGACAAATGCAATGAACAAGGAAAAGAAGAAAGCAAAACAAGCAAGATTTTGTAAGATTGTAGAGTGAATTATATATAGCTAAAATCAATATGAGGACACTTCAACATTTTTGATAACTCAAAGAGTTTTAATATTGTTAAACAGAACAATATTTTGTTGCCATTTTTTTTAAAAGCCAGTTCTAGTAACTTTGGTGCATATTCCTGATTCTCTACCTTCATTCACAGAAGTCTTCACTTATCTATAAGTTCATCCCGTTCTCTGGGCTTTTATCTTATCCTCTTTTGGACACAGCATGTTTTCATTTCAGCTTACCACTTTGATCATCATATCTCAGTCACTCCTCCAAGATCTCCCTGAAGTCCCTTCTTTCAAATTCCCCTTATTTTATTTTCCCTCCATCTCTATATCACAGCTACCTCTGAACTCCATTTCCTGCTTGCTAGAGGTCTCCCTTTGCACATCCCTATAACCCTCTCATCCTCTAATCACCCCATAGTAGTCTTCTTGTTATTTCTGTGCCACAACAGCTCTCTGAAACTATGTTTCAGCTTTCATTTCTTTATTTGGCTTAGTTTAATTCCCCTTACATTATCTCTGTGTTTCCTCTGTCGAGATTCACTTGTTCTCTTTGCCATCTAACCAAAAACCTTTACTCCCTGAGTGGAAAATAACTGACAAGCGGGGCTGTGCATATAGCTAACTGGCTTTCAATAAATAGGGATAACTGGCAGCAACTCCACCAGTTATAGCTGTTACCATGGTCATAGGAACACAAGCATTTCCCACATCATCCTGCCTGTTTGCAGAAGAAGCTGCAAACAACCCTTAAATTAAGACAAAAAAAGAAATAATATGCTTCACATAAATATATTGATTTCAAATGTACAAGTAGAAGCAGCTAATAAATGGGAAGAGATTATTTAACATCCAACCTCTTTTTTGGGGGGGGGGATCACTGTCATTGCACTTGTTCAAGTGCTTTCTTGAGGAGGAAATTGAGATAACATATGCAGATTTTGCAGAAATGAAATAAAAAGGTAAGGAAATTTGTGGGAGAAAATTTCTCTGTACCAAATTGATGCACAGATTGCTACAAATCCGGTGGAAAAAAAATAATTTGAGTATCTTTATGTCCATCTTACAATCCTATTCTTTCCTGTTTTGTTCTCATTATGACTGGAGCAATGCCACAGAACGAAAGAATATTAAAAAGCTGAGATTTCTGTTTGCCCTTTTACCCAAAGAAAAAGGTCATTGAGTTTCCAAAACAGCATCCTTCTAGAATGCCCCTTCAGTTATTCAGAAATCAAAATTCTCACATGATTGATCTCTGTTTTTTCTAAGTCTTTATTGAGAAAAAGAGACCAAAGCTTACTGTGAAACCTAACATGGCCCAATATTGCATTTTATTAAAACACTCAGGTTACTAAGGAAAAGTAGAAATATCTCCCACCCAGATTCGAAAAGGCCAGTATGAAAGATGATAGCAGTGGTTGAACATGCCTATTTCCCCTGGTCTTTCTCTTTGAAATATTTGAGATTCTTTCTGTGCTGTTTGCAGTGAGAAAGAAATAAGTAAAGGGAATATCTGAAGTAGTAAACTTTTTCCCTTACGTGTGCTTTGGCAGATATAACAGAGTATCAATGCAAATATATAACACCCATTATGAAAATGAAATGGCAAAATAGAGAATGCCATGACCTTGACCACTAAAAATTTTACATTGGAGTCAAAGTTTATAGCATTTCTCTGTACTCTAGCATAAATTCTAATACTGGCAGAGATGTTTGGACAGGTTTTCAAAGAAAGTTATTTATTGCTTTTATTTTCTAGTTTTCAAATGCATGCAAAGTTCCATACAAAAATGTATATTTTAGAAGAATGCATATAGTTCACGTTTTCATGCTGAGTTGCGTGGTGGGATATATGCATACCTACTGATGCCATAATAAAACAAAACAGGTTCATGGATCTATAAAAATATTAAATTGGTGCAAAGATCTGTGGTAAGACTATGCTGTTAAATATCTAATGTTGGCTCTCTTCCCAGTCCAACAAAAAACATTAATGTCAGCATTTAATAATCAGAGATTTTTGTTTTAGCTTTGGAATATAACCTTGGTGCTCTTGGATTTATATTTTAATGGAAAGACAAAAAATGAAAAGAAACAAATTTGGGATATTTTGGTTTAAGTTGTGTGTTTGCCATGCGTTCATTATTTCATTTCCATCTCTCTGTTTTTCCACCTACAAAATAAGGTAGTGTCCCATTTCCTACGAATTGAAGTAGTGACTATATTGCAAATTCAAACTGATATGTAAGTTATAACCAGGAATGGATGTGCCATATGAAAGCTAGATAATGTTATTCCTAATAAAATTTAAGAGAGATCTTAAGTTTATTTAGCAAGTATGCTAGTTCACATCAGATGTCCTCTCACCCCATGAAGCTCATGTGGGGATTGTGCTAATTTAACATCAGTTGTAACTAGTGAAAAGAACATACCAACGAGAATAGATTAAATGCACACAACAAATACATGGTTGTGTATACAGAGTCAGGAATTATGTTAGAGAATATAATAACTTTTCTGATGTTCTCTTTGCCTTCGCTATGTGATCCCAATTGTCCCACACTACAATTTTCCTCTCCGTATTGATCACTATCAAATAATGCCATTAACTTAGGGAGATTTATATTTTTGCATATCACTTTCTGAATTTGGCCAAATTGTCTGCCCTGTGCATGCAATTTATACTGCTCATATGGACAAAAATTCCCAATGAAAATGAAGAATTTTATTCTAACATGCAACAAATGGGTAGGAAAGCAATTGGGACCTAATCAACCACACAGGTTGAGAGTTAAATCTGGAAAACATTTCAGTCTGGGGAAAACTTTCTCTGAATTCAAGGCCAGAACTATATTTCAAATTATTCCATTAACTGGGTATTACATAATTTTCTGAGAACCCTGTTTTAGTTGTCACATGCAAATTAGTGCATTACTGTGTAATTATACATGGAAACTTGTCTATAATAAATAGGCCTATAAAGCTTGATCTTCCTCAAGGCTACTGACTTGAGCAGTGCAAGGACATTTGACTCTTAAGGTTTAGGTTGCACTTTAGATCATTTACTTGTAAGAGCTTAATTACTTTAATTACATAATAGTGTTGTACCAACGAAAGGGGAAGAGTAAATTCTCTCAATCCTCTAAGCCAGGGCTCCTCAAACTTGGCCACTTTAAGACTTGTGGACTTCAACTCCCAGAATTCCCTAGCCAGGCTGGCTGGGGAATTCTGGGAGTTGAAGTCCACAAGTCTTAAAGTGGCCAAGTCTGAGGAACCCTACTCTAAGCTCTATTTTGTTTCAGTTTAATGTCCTACAGGTGCTTTTTCAAAAGGCAACTGGACTTAGGGATAACCATGACCTGGATGACTGAGAATCTCCATAGATGTTTCAGTTTAATGTACATCAAGATAGACATGAATGGGAGTAAGCTATAACATTAATAGCAAAATCCTGCTTTTAAAGAAAAAAAGTATCTTACCTTTGCATTGTAAACCTTGTCTCAGAAGACCCCAAAGCAATGAACCACAGTGGTCACAGAAGGTGGGCACTTTGTAATTGTGAATGCTAAACTTATGAGGCATGTTGACACTGAAACGCTGAGAACCCACCTGGAAGATAAAAAGTGCAAAAGGACCAAAGTTAGCATGCTACTGTTTAATCCAGTGTGGCTGGTTGGTGAATTATGGGGGATGCAGTCCATCCATCTTACAGTTGCCAAGGTTAAGAAAAAATAGAATTAATCTCAACTACTAGAAAAATAAAGTTACTACCCTCTCAGGTTTTTTTAAGTTTCCTATTGCACTTAAAGATATATAGTATTAATCACATTGACACAGAAGCAATTTTGATCTATCCTTGGGTAAGTGGTATTGTAGATATGGACAAGAAACCATTGTGTTGAGGCAATGGCTCAGATATATCACTGCAATATATATCAGCCCTATGCTTGAAGGGACAGACTGTATGATCACTGGATAACCTACCATCGTGTAGGATCCTTCCTAACAGGATGCTGACATAATTATGAAAACCAGTAGGATGGCATGCAGCATTAGGAATTAGGAAAATAAAGTGATGGACATTTGCCACATGGGAAAGCACTAGCAATTTATTATCTTTTATTTTTGTGAAGAAGCCAGGAGAATGAGCATTTAGACATGGACTTGAGGGACAAGGCAAGTGACCAGCAAACAAACACTGACTGGCTAAAAGTCCACTGTGGTCAGTCATTGGTCAGAAAAGGCCATAGCTAAGTAATTTCAGCTCCCTAAGAACTCTAGACACATCATGTCTGTGCTCACAGCATCTTGATGTCTAGATCTAAAGAGAGTCAAAACAACCTAGATCAGGTTTATGTGTATTTTAAATCGAGAGATGGAAAGACTGGTGGTTTGGAAGAACCCTGACTTAAACACATTAACTCTGCACAGTTTCCTTTTATTTAGGCATTCCTTCTGTAAATATTTACCTCATCATGGGCTTCCTGCTTCTTCAAGCCAGCACACTTTGTTATTATAAGCTCATGGCATCGCTTGTGGACTACGCAAGTACAAACTGTAAACAAGAGATTATTTTATCCATTATGAAAAAGAAAAAATAAATAAATGAGAAATTGTGGGGGATTCATCCCTATCCTCATTCCTCTTCAGGAGTCTCCTAAAAGGCCTAAATTAGATTATGGTCTGTGTGAAAAGGGGGGCTGGACATAAGGATAGTCTAGGTCTAGGAATTCTATTGGAATTGTGAGCAAAGAAAATTCTCAAAATGTTAAGAGTAAAGGTAGTTCATATTCTTATGACTCTATCACATTTTAAATAGTTTCAAAATATCTGTTTTCACTTTCACAGAAGAGAAATTAAGCTTTGAGGCTCCATAAACATTCTAAATCAATGAAATCATATTGAACAATCTGGAAAAGGCAACAGACTATTCCAAACTACCATATAAGGAAATATTTCTAGAACATAATTGCCTCTTGTTCAAAATGAGCTGTTACAGTGTTATTGTCCACTGGTTTTGTGGATGTTTATTGCTTTAGAATTGTAAGCTACTTGGAACAGACTGAGTAGATGGTGTAAAATAATACAAAGAAATATAAAATTTCATACATTAAAAACATAAGAGTTCCTTTGGACATCTTCAACCTTAATGCAGTGATACTTGGACTTGCACCCTTCCGCCCTTGGCATGAGAACAAAACATCTGAAGTGTTTATTTCTGTTTAAGGTTATTCATAATTTGCTGTGTCATCCAAAGCCAAGCAAATTGTAGTTAACCTTAATTATACCTATCTGAAACAAATCAACTTCTAATTGTGTATTTTGACTCATCACAGTAATAATCAATCACTGAGGTGAAGCTAGGTAGCATCCAAAATTTTAGTTATTCTGTAAAAATACTGATCAGTTTATTTGAAGGAGAAAACTGGGTAAGTTGTAGAAGCTTCTACACATGAATGACCCGATTTTACCAATTGTTCTGCAGCAGTTATTAAACAAACACCACAGTTGTAAAGTGAACACAGTGGGTATTAAGATATCAATGCGGTCCTATGGGAAGTTTTTGCTGGAAATTGACCCAAAGACCAGAAACTGACAAAATACATTATAAATCATGGTGATATGACTCCAGAGTGCTACAACCAATTGTAAAAGAGAGCTGGTTGCCATGTGCCCAAAATGTAGTCATGTGACCATAGGAGGGTCTGAACTTCAGAACTGGGTCATAAGTATTGTTTGGGAAAGTTGTCAGAACTTTGAATGGTCATTAAGCAACCAGTTGTTGTTAACCAGTTATATTTGCTTGCTGTCAAACCATCATGGATCACCATATCAATACACTAAACTTACAACTACAACTACAGTTTGGCACTTGAAATATCTATTGTACTTAGCTTCTGAGTCTTAGTCTTTTAAGGTTCCTTGGATTCTAACCTCTTTCCTGTATAATATTTTCAACATACTATCTTTCTTTCATTTTCATTTTCTTTGAATTGGCCAATTCTTTGAATTGGTTACTTCCTGTCCATTGTCATCCTTTAGCATATGAATTTGAAGTGGGAACCTTTTTCTGAGTTTAGAGATCTTTTGGAAGACTATCCTTATGTCTATTCCCATCTTTAATGTCATGTTGTTGTACTACTGTACTGCTTCTTGTCTTTTCTAATAGCACTTTTTGATACATTTCTTTCTGAGATTTTTGTCTTTCTTGACTTTGGCTCCTCTTGTCTTCTTGATAATATCCATGCTTTGTATTGATGTCTACTTTTTTTCTTCTGTTTGTTCATCTTTGGCAGTCTCATATTCATTCTCAATTACTTCTTTAAATTCATTCCAGAGTAAGTCTGGTTCTCTATCAATAAGTTTTAGTACTTCAAAGTGATTCCCAATATTCTTCTTGAAAACGGTATGTATATATTGAAGATCATATTGTGCAAATTAATTGGTTTTCTTCTTCTTTAGCTTAATTTGGAATTTGTTCCACAGTCAGCACCTAGTCATGTCTTTGATGCTATAACTAAATTCTTCCATATCCTGTTGACAATGATATAGCCAATTTGATTTCTATGTATCTGGTAATGTCCATCTACAGAGGTGTCATTTCAGATTTTGGAGGCTATGTTTGCTTTGAAGATATCCTGCCAGTGACACTCTATGAAAGTGAAAGTTGGACTTTGAAGAAAATGAACAGAAAAAAAATATTGACACTTTTGAAATCTGGTGTTGGAGAAGATGTCTGAAAATATCATAGCCAGCCGTGAAGACAAAGAAATGGATTGTTGAAGAAATTAACCCAGAGTTTTCATCCAAGACACAAATGATCAGGCTCAAATTATAGTATTTTGGAAATATTATGAGTTAACAATCAATTGATGACTCATGATAAAATTCTGAGTCTTAGTAGGAATGAACAATCTTGTTGTCAGAGTCTACGCAAGGAAATCTTTAAAAATATTAAAACCTACAACAGATAACTAATCTTAATGCCAAAAGGTATATTAATATCAAATACTATGTCCAAAAGCAGCTAACAATTCTAGATATGCACTGATGATGTTACCTAGTTTGGGTAATGAGAGCACCAAGTTTGGGTATCAGAGAGCACCAAGGACCCCTCAGATCTGTGTATCTTAATAATATAAACCAGAGGTCCCCAGCCTTTTGGGCACCAGGGACCAGTTCCGTGGAGAGAGGTTTTTCCAAGGACCGAAGGTTGCATGATTTTGTGTGCTGCCTGCATCTCACTGATGGGGCTTTGCTTGTTTGTGTGGACTAGTTGCTGGCATGCTGGGCCTGGTACTGGTCTACATACCAGGGGTTGGGGATCCCTGATATAAACGATACAACTATAATTTTCCTATTGGTTTACCTACAACTTTTAAATGAAGAATCCAATAACAACTATTTTTGTGTTATCAGTTTATCCTGTCTGCACTAACACCTTCTGTATATTCTGCATGTTTTCTACTCACAGAGTAAGTTGAGAAGGGGTGATAGTAATGTCAGTTGCATGTAACCACAGACTGTATGCTTCTGAAAGACATCTGACCAGCCACAGTGGGCAGCTGTTAAAACAACACTACTGTATTGTACTTTAACCAGGACTCAATGTTTATAAGGGCCATCTGGGGATTTTTATTAATTGTATGTCATTTTGTGTTTATTCTCTAATTTTGCTCTGTTGTATGCTGCGCAGATGAGATCTGCATTATAAAAACTGTGAAAGAAGCAGACAAACAATGTTGCTGGATTAAGACGAATGTATTCAGCAAGGCTCAACTTTCATCCAAAATCCATGGAAGCTCTTCTGGGGGAAGCACCAGAATATCCTTCATTATTCTCTGTTCCCAGACATCTCAGGTGCTCCGTACTCAGAACAACTTTTGTGTTTGCTGAAAAGGATTGAAAAAACAGGTTGACCATATACACTTTTTTCTTATCCATGTAGGGGCTTCCAAAATTATGGGGAATTTAGAAAAAACTGCAAGAAAATTATTTCCTCTAAGTCCCTAATGTGGTTGGATGCCATGGCATGCCAGCAACCGGTCCACACAAACAAGGAAATCGCCATCCGTAGGATGCAGGCAGCACATAAAACCACACACCCCTCTGGTCCATGGAAAAACCTCTCTCCACGTAATCGGTCCCTGGTGCCCAAAGGTTAGGGACCTCTGGCCTAGGGAATGATCAGATAAGAGATGCCATACCCCACAACTGTCTAATAGGCAGAGAAAGAAACTCAGAAAGGAACTTCCTTAACTTATTAGGCTGTAAAAGAGAGGGCGAGGGATTTTCAAGATTCTGTTAAGGTAGCTTTACAATAAAGTAGAATTAGCTCATCTGATCAGGTTTCCTGTCTTAAGAATCCTGACACCTAATAATCAGGGTTCCTTATAGATTCCATACTTATTCATAAAATGTACAATTTTTCTTACCTTGACATTGGTACCCTTGTTTTCCTATTACTCCCCTGTTGTTGTTGTTTTAAAAAAAAGAATAGTAGAGAACACATTAGGGATAGACCAAAGATGTAATTTCACATTTTCATTTATCATACAGTGAATGGCTAAGAATGAATTTACAGTATGGAAGACCATGCTGGCTACATTTCTATTTATGCACGAATATTCTCTTTGAATTCCACCGATGCAGTTAAATAAATAACTAAAGTGATCAAACTTACTTTGCCTTCTTTCTATCTTAGATTTTTTGAAATGCCACCAAGCAATTTTCTTTGCATTGTCTCTGCTAACTCATATATCTCCTAGTATTGATAAGACTTTGCCAATCTTATCCCTAACATCTTCATTATCTGTGAAACTTCAGAATGTTTGGCAAGGGCTACCTTTGTTTCAGCACTGCAGAAACCGGAAAAGCTATCGCTGAACTCTCTTTACCACATATCTATTAGAAGTGCAGATGTAACACGATGAGGCCCTATAGTCCAAATTAATCTTACATTAATCTAAACATGACCTTCTGCTGTGCTTCAATTACAGTTCTAACAACAAATTAGATCCCACTGATGATTGCTTCTATGTAAAGATATATGGATCAAGTTCAGACAAAGTGTTTCTACCTTACACTGAGGATGGTTGCTTAGCAATAGAATCAGATGGGATGAGATAAGCTAAAGGAGTTCACTGAGCTACAGTTTGTGTAACCCTCTAATGTGGGAATGCCACAGTAGTGGCTATGAAATTCACTGTGGCTGAATATTCTTGATATATTTAATTCCTTTTCACTCTTTGGAAATGAGAACATCCAAATCAAGGAAAATCTATACTAATTGCCTTACAATGCAACTCTATACATGTCTCCTCAGAAGCAAGTCCCACTATATTCAGTGAGTCTTACCTCAATAATGTGTTCGCCTGATTACAGTCTTAATTTTTTTTACTAGAGTACAAAGAATTTGATATCCACTATATATGCTTGCATAATGTATAATTATTTAAAAGGTACATAACCACAAAGTTACAGGAAGCCTTTGCATATCTCAATGTATAAAATAATGACACCATTATTTCATTAATTATTACTTTCCTGAAAGGATTAATGCAAACAATTTCCAATAGCCAAAACAGAATGGTAATCATGTTACCATGAAAAAAACAAGCCAGATGATATGAGAAATGTCTCCATATAATAAAATTTACCATATAAAGTCTCGGCAGTGTGAACAATAGGTTGGTTGTCTAAGATAGGTGGCCATAAACTTGTGCCCATTAACCTGATGGACCCTGCGTCGCACTGCCCCCTGGCGCTTCCTGGGGCGCATCCGTTCCCTAAATACTCTTTCTTCATTGTCTTTTGGTGCTGATGGGAATAAAAAAAGAGAGAGAGAAAATGGAAGAGATTAACGAAATTTAATATTCCAGCACAAAGCTGAAGAACAGAAATAAAAAAGCAGAATGCACAACTTCAAATCAATTCTCATATATCCATGTTTCTATACGTATTCCACCATACCTCCATACTCTTTTCTGATTTTAAGTATTGTAAATCCATTTGTTTTAAAGCAAATTTTTAATATGTATGATTGTATGAATAGGCTTAAATGTATGCAGAAACTTCATTAATCTAGTGTCTTTGAATGCGCTGAACTTCAACTCATTCCCAATGGGCATATTGATTGGAGAGCAATGCATCCAGAGACCACTAGGCTGGAAAAGGCTGGTGAAATATTTGAAATCATAAAGGATTCAGTGATGGATATATAATTTTGAATTCTTTGGGGATTAATAACTGATAGTTGGGAGGGAGAATTCTGAGGTATTAAATTAAATCTACTATGTTCCATCTTTCCTACTGGAGTTTAAGAAGATTTACATGGAGATCTTTTTTCCTTTTATCCTTACAAAAATAGCCCTATGAGTATGTTAGGCTGAGAGAAAGAGAGTAGCCCAAAGTCATTTAACAAGTTTCCCTGGCTGAGGATGGATTTAATCCAGGGTATCCCCAATTCTTGTCCAATACACTGATCGCTACACCACAATAGCATATTTTCAAAAGCTTGGGGCTCAGTGGATTTCGTTAAGAGACCTCTCCACAATTGCTTGGAAAGGTATCGATAATAGATCTTGCTGGAGTGAGCCCTTCTGAGGATTCAATGTGCTGAGGGAAGCTGTCTGCAATTTCAGTATGGAAAAGCTGACAAGGCTGAATCATAACATTGTCACCTACACCCGTGTCCAAGGTCCAGCACCCAATCCCTTCATGACCATTAATTCTCAGAAGTCTATATATTGATTGATTGTAATAAAATAAATCACATTATATCTCCTCCCTTAATGAAATTGCAGGATAATAATGCAAATTAAAACAGCATGAATGTAAAGCATCAGCACCCTAGCTGCATTAGATATATTGAAAATTAATTATTGCAGTGAGGTAAAAGCTAATTCTATCAATATACCTCCTTTTAAAGGAATAAAAATCAGCATTTTTTTTCTATAGTTGCTTTAGGCAAGTAGGATATAAGAGTGAACCAATTTTTCTTGTTGAGAAATTCCCATTTGTATATCATAATACTGGGTTTTTGCACTTTTCATTTTTTGTTTTTTTAATGGAAATGCAGCACTTTCCCCCTTTATCTTCAGCAATTGCATTAATCACAGTTGCTGTAGAAGCCATGACGTGTAGAGATCTTTCTCTCATACACATATGCACGTTTTGGCTACCAGCTGTGTTCCCAGCATCAAAGCAAAGCCACGCTGATGCTATGCTGCTGCTTCTCGCTGTGTTACATTTATCTGAATAAGAATCTCACAGCAGTTTCAACCCAGTTTTGCTCTTTGGGTTTGCAGGAAGGAGGGAATTATAGGAAGGATTTGCATCATCCAGCCCAGTTGAAGAGGGATATCTGTGTGAGTAAACCCAAAGGATTCAACCTGCAGGTGATGAACTCAGAAAGCTGCCTCATGTCAGAATGAAATATATAGGATGAAGAGGGATCAGGAAATATTTCCAGACTTGATACTTTGGGTTTCAAAATGGCCAACATTCGGTTAATCCTGAGCTAACACTATCAAAGCCTTAATGCTCTTAGGAAAATTGTGAGTTAACACAATGTGAAGGGTAACATACCTAAAAGTTTTTCGTAATTACTGAGATCTGCCTCTGAGATCCTGCTTTAGTCTAAATGTGTGGCGTATGACACCCTTTGGTGTTCTAAGTTTTTACTGAGGCAACTTAAGTATCTCAGAGCACCACAGCAAGACCTCTGGTAAAAAAAAAAAATCCTCTGGAATATCTATTATCTTGTATTTTCTTTAATTTTGTTCAGATACACAATAGTTTTAGATCAGAGATAAAATGCAAAGTTTGCATGAGTTTGATCCATGGACTTTCCAGCCAAAAGAACTGGTAGCAGCTGAGGAGGAGTATGCCTGGAATAAATTAGCTTTTCTATGGATTATGATGGCTTGCAATTATAACCTAACAATTCTGGAAGTTACTTGGTAAATAATCTGATTCAGCTCAAAATTTGACTCAACTGAATAGTGAGATGTTAGAGGTAACAACTCACAGATGATTGAAGTTCCTCTTCTTTGAGTGGGACTCCAATGTACAGAATTTGATCTGCTATCTTCTGAAGTTCCTTCCCCTGATGTTGTAAGACAAGATAAGCAACAGTTCAATGTGCAAGAAAAAAAATGGACAATCTTGGTAATTTTTTCCTGCTGTGTCTCTTTAAATTACTACTGAATATTACAATTAGCTCTAGACAAGGTACCATATAAGCTGTAGTCTAAAATATCAAGAAAAAAACTGGTCACATCCTTTTTTTTAAAAAAAAGTAAAAATCATTGATAAGCAGCTGGACCAATTCTACTTTCAGCATGTGAAAAGTTTACTGCAGCCCATCTTGGAGAATATCATGGCTCATAGTGGAGAGAGATTATAGAAATGCAGAAATGTAGGGAAGCTCTGAACAGGAGAGTCAATAACAGGATGCAAATCATTGATCCAACTCAGCAGAAGAAAATTGAAGTGCCCGTATCTCCCTAAAATATGTTCTCTGTCTTCTTTTCTCAAAATGTAGTAGGTTGCTCTATGTAGGTGCCAGATTTGGAATATGTATGCTATACTTTACTTAAAACTGAAGTAAACTAAAACTAAAGAAATATAGAGCAATGTATTTCCAACCTGTTTTATGGAACTCTAAAGTAGTCACTTGAGCCATAGCAAAATCAATAATCTAATGAAATTTAATTTAATTTTGGGTACACACTCAATGGAATTTAGGAAGGAATTTAGTAACAAAGTTTGATCCAGCTAAGAGGTGCCAAAATGCATTAGCTCAAATCTAGATAAAGCAGCTGAGCTGAAATGAAGTAATTTAGAATTAGAAGTCAATTATCATTGGGCAAAGGACTGAAAAAGAGTGTTGCTTGCACCAAAAATATCTAAATCTGATCCAAAGATGAGCTAGTCTAAGTCTCACCCCATTTTAGAATGCAGCATAGCAGCAGGCCTTGTGATGGCATTGTTCCAGGATGCAAAACAGAAATGGATTATTTTGGAAAAGTCATGCAAGATGCACTAATTCTGATCTTTATGTACAAGTTGACCAGGGGAAGACTGACCATCTCAAGCATCTATACTATAGATCACTTAAAACATATACTATAACCCATATATTAAGAGATGTAATATTTTTAAAAATGTTTTAGTAATCAGACAGATCCTGTCCTTCTGCTGGCTGGGAAGTCTGAAGCTGTAATTCCTATACACCTAATCAGATAACAGTTATTTATGTTATCTGATTTTCAGGATTTTGGACTTGCGATCCAGTTATTCTCCAAGAATACTTGCAAAAGGAAAAGTGATGCATTTTCTTTTACCCAATGAAATGCCTTCTGATTGTTCTTGCTGCAACTATTGTTTTGTACATGAGAACATTTTCTGAAATTTCTCCAATATATTTATAAGGCTACAATCTAGACAAAATTAATACAATTACTATGGTTGAAAAAATAACTTTCAGAGCAAGAAAAAGGTCCATTTTATTGGAACTTAGGGGTAAAAAAAATCAAGCTTCTCCATTTAAATATAAACTAACTCTTCTTGACATATACTCTGCTTTGGCCATAGCTCACCAAAGTAGTAGGCAACCTTTTAAATTGAGCACTGTGCAGTATTTAAAGCTCACAAAATGGCTGCCCCTGGAGGACTTGCCTACAGTATTCTCTAAATGGCTGCCACTGTCAATATGTTCAGTCACAAAATGTCCTTTTACTAGAGAGTGAGCTACTCCCTCTGTTGATATTTTCTAAATCTGGTGGATTTTTTATTGGGCTCAAACATATTCTTACACACAATTAAATATGATGCTAGAAGCTAGTGTTTTGCTTTGTAGCATGGAAGTTTATTTAATTTATTGTTTGCTATTAGTATATTTTTTTAAAAAAAAAATCAGGTAGGACAGAAAGTCTGAGCTAGCTGGAGGACAATTGAGTGTCCATGGGTGCCATGTTGCTTATCTGTAGATTTACTTGGTTAGCATGATGTCCAAGCAAAGCCAACCCACCTGAGTGATATTGTATATTATGTACCTATACCCTGTGAAGATTCCAAACACACATGTTGATATCATATGGGCACAGAAAACTGTTCATTCATTTTCATTTAACGTATTTATTTCTCAAGATTTCTCTTCTGCCCAAATTATAAGGCATGTGCCTGAAATAAATTCTGTGGGTTTGCATGACATTTCCCTTTTCCCAGCCACTGCAGAAGGGCTGAGAGAAAAGCAAAGGATGGAAAGCCATCTGGGCTACAGAAAGGTTGGTTACTGCTGCTGACTGTTGCTGACTTAAAATGTTGTTTTGTTGTTGTTGGTGGTTTTTTTTTAAAAAAATCAGCTTGTTTATATAGCTTGTGCACATAGCTTAATTAATTACCTCCTAATTTTATCACATCACAATTTGTCTACAAATTAGACTAGGATCACCCCTCTGCAGGCAAAGGACTAATTGATTAAACCAGACAGTAATTTATTAAGACTTGCATTCAAAGAGAGGAAGGAGAAGTTGCAGAGAAACAGAAAAGTATAAGGATAAGGTTCAAGCATTGCTTTGGGGGTCTATGTTAAAGCTGGGGACTAGATTCTCTCAAATCCATTGGGGCTCCCAAGTCTGTTGGTCAATATAGCAGAAATCTGGAAGAACCAGAATGATGTCTGTACATATCCTTGTACTTGGAGCATGCATGTAAATCCTTGTACTTGGAGCATGCACAACTTTTTCTGGGTTGGCATGAGGGCTGCATTCCAAGCAAATTGATAGGGCCAGGATAAAACCAAAAATAGTTTTAATTCATATTTAAATAAACTTGAACAAGCTAAATACCATCAATGCAACCATTTACAGTTAATAATTCTACCTTCTATTACAATTTGAGGGCAACTTTTGGAGAGGTCCTTAGAGCAGCAGCAAAACTTTTGAGGGCCATTGGCAGCCCAGGACTTCCAACTGGGTTCCCCTGTTGTTGTGGTGCTGGTAAGTTTTTTTTGTTTTTTGTTTGCTTTTTAAACATACAGTAAGAACATTATTTGGTCACTGTTAAGCACTTTGAAGTTTCATTAATTCCAACAAAATCTTTCCTGTTCAAAATAAGGAAGCTGTTATATTTTCCCAGAATGTGATTGATGTTTAATATTAGCTGGATTATGTCCCAAGTCACATTATTACACTGTTACTAATACCACAAAAAAGTTCGACAACTTGTGCTTCAATTTATGCTCCTGTGAATAAAGTGGCTGGATTTAAGGCACTTTGTGTAATTGACGTGTCAAACAAAAGGGAATCCAATTCGAGAGACACAAGGCATTTAGTCTCTCTAATGTTTTTAACTATACGTAAACCCCCATAAAAGTATGAACAATACTTATGATAAAACTATAAATCCTGTGGACAAATGTAGTTATTAATTGGGAGCCAGCAAAAGTGTGTGTGTGTGTGTGTGTGTGTGTGTGTGTGTGTGTGTGTGTGTATTTGTACAGTATACATGTTTTAAAGTAAAGCAGGATTACAGGAATACCTGATGAATAATCATGGAGAAAAGAAATTGAAATGGGAGTAGCAGATATTTCAGAAGAAACAGAAATTGGTATCATATGCAGACTTGACTAAAGTGTAATGAACCCAGAGAATTTCCATTTAATTTGGCTTTAAAATGCAAAGCCTACAGGTGGAAGGTATGACACAGGCATAAAATGATGAAAACCAACAAAAATACACTTAGTTTTGTCTGTAAGTATAAATCAGAAAGTAGTGTAAAATCTCTTTTCTTGACCTCAAAATCTAAAAGATACTATAAGGAACCATAAGGAAAATACATAACCATTGAACTTTTTGAAATTATGGATTTTAGTTTTTAATCAAAAATTGATTCTGGACTATATTTACTGATAAGCTTATTGTGGATATTGATTTTTGTTAAATGTAGGGTTAAGTATATGAACACTGGTATCCAATATATTTAATTGATAAGTTACTCTTATATACAAAGCATAACATACTTAATTTTAATAGTGACAATTTAGATACTCTGGAGAGAAACGTAGAAACTGTAAATAAGTGGGGTGGCTGGTTTGAAGAGCAGAGAAAGATGACAAGCATTCCTAATCTCACGAGAGTTGGAATAGGGAAGAAGCAGACAACACATACTTCAACAATGGAACCAAGCCCAGCTAGGCAAAGATCCCTGGAAGAGGTGACACAAAGAGATAGTGCAAACTCCTGTAAAGATTTGCAACTAATGTTGCAATCAATGCAAGAAGTGATGTGTAAAAAAAGAGATAAGGGGAGTGAGAAATGATACAGGGGAACTTAAGGAAAAGATGAGGTCTATGGATGGGAAATTTGAGTGCTTTCAGAAACATCTCATGAAAAACGAACAAAAATTACAGGAAATGAAAGAAAGAATGGGAAAAGAAGAACAGAGAGTAGATGAAATGAATGAGAGATTAGTTCAGGAAAACAGGGAATTAGAATTGACAGTTATTTCCCTGGAAGGAGAGAAGGCTGCCCATTACCTACGGATCCAAAATATTAGAGAGACGAAAGGTGAAGATTTACCAGTAATGGAGACAGATATTCTGGCCAGGGCCCTGGGGACTAGTAAAGAGGAATGGCAAATGAGATCGATGAGACTTATAGAATCCACACAAACTATGCAAGATGGCACAATCTCCCCAGAGAGGTCCATATCAGATTCGTTAAAAAATCTGTCCGAGATGAAATATTATTTAGGACCAGAGACGATCCACTGGAATACCAAGGCAGACAACTAATTGTGCTTAAGCAAATACCAAGAAGGGTGAGAGATATGAGAAAACCTTACCAACAAATAACCTCTAAATTGATAAGAAAAAATATTAATTTTAGATGGTTGGTACCGGAAGGGATTATGGTCGTGTGGCAGGAAAAGAGGTTTCGGCTGGATACAATAGACAAAGTAGAGGAATTCTATAGACAAAATTTTGGAAGTGAGGAGGAATTAGTTGAAAGACAGGCAAGAGAAGAAGGTGAGATCCTGCCACAGGCCACAGAAGGAAAGGAATTACAAATTAAAGAGAAGGGAACTGGGAGAGGTGATGAT